CCATTTACTTAGATTTCATTAATTCAAACTTCTTTTAATTCTAACAAATTTTGGGGCCCCTTCGAGTTCAAATTATTGAGATTTGACTCCAGGTGTAAACTAGCCGACATCAGGAAGTATAACATGGAAAGCATTGAGCTCGCTGTAAAAAGCCGCAGAAGCGTAAAAGCTGCGAAGGCAGACTTGTGCATTGGCAAAAATCGGAGGTGTGCATTTAGAAACAAGGAAGGCAATGTCATAAACAATATGGAAAGGATAGTCGACACGGCGGAGGAGTTCTACAGATAGCTGTACAGAAGTCAAACCAGCCAAGATGATATTGTGAGAAACTATAATAGTCCAGGAGAATTCGACATCCTACCAGTAACGACAGGGGAAGTAAGGAAAGCCCTAGAAGGAATGCAAAGAGGCAAAGCCGCTGGTAAGGATAAAGTAACAACGGACCTCCTGAAAGATGGTAGAGAAATTGTGTTAGAAAAATTAGCCACCTTATATACAAAGTGTCTCTTGACGGGAAGGGCACCATAATCTTGGAAGAACACCAGTATCGTCTTAGTCTATAAGAAAGGAGACATCAAGGACTTGAAAAATTACATGCTGATCAGCTTGCTCTCCATTCTCTACGAAACATTTACAAACATAATAGCTAATAGAATTAAGACGATATTAGAGTTCAATCAGCCATAGGACCAAGCAGGATTCCCTACCGGCTACTCCACAATAGACCACATTCATACTATCAATCGGGTAATTGAGAAATGCGCTGAGTACAACCAACCGCTATACATAGCTTCATAGATTACTAGAAGGCGTTTGACTCAGTTGAGACATTAGCAGTAATTCAGGCACTAGGGAACCATGGCACCGAAGAACCCTACACAGACTTAGCGGAAGAATTCTACAGTGGATCCTCAGCCACCATAGTTCTCCATAAATAAAACAACAGAATCCCTATAAAGAAGAGTGTAAGGCAGGGAAACACGATCTCTTCAATGCTATTCACCGCGTGTTTACAGGAGGTTCTCAGAACCGTAGATGGGAAAGAGTTGGGGATAAGACTTAATGTAGAGTATCTTAGTAACCTGCGACTCGCTGATGACATATCCTTGATAAGTAACTCAGGGGACGAATTACAGCTCACAATTGCTGAACTGGACAGGTAATCCAGAAGAGTAGGTCTGAAAATTAATATGCACAAAACTAATGTAATGTGCAACAGTCTCGGCAGAAAACAGCACTTTGCAATTGGCGGAGAGACGCTGGAAGTTGTAAAGAAATATGTCTACTTAGGACGGATAGTAACCGCAAAGCCGAACCATGAGAGTGAAATAACTAGGAGAATAAGGATGAGGTGGATCACATTCGGCAGGCATTTTCAAATCGTGAATGGTAATCTGCCATTGACCCTCAAGAGGAAGATATATAGCAGCTGCATCTTGCCAGTGATTATCTACAGAGCAGAATCCTGGAGGTCTGCAAAGAGCGTTCAGCTTAAATTGAAGACGACGCAGCGAGCGATGCAAAGGAAAATGATAGGTGTAACATTAGGAGACAAGAAGAGAGTAGATTGGGTCAGTAAATAAACTGGGGTTAAGGATATCATCGTTGAAATCAAGAAAAAAAAAATGGACATGGGCCGAGTACGTAGCGTAACCGCTGGTCATTAAAGGTAACTTACTGAATTAGGTAACGCCATGGTTTAGCAAGCCATTCGCAACCCTCTGCTGTGCGTAAAGTTAACCTTCATGCTTGGTGTCACACAAGAACTGCAGCCGATCCTGGTCGAGCTCCAGAGTGGTACACCGATGTTTCCATTTCTCAGAACATCGCTGGAAACGGTTCTACGATCCCTAATGAGCAGAATTTTAAAGAAAGAGGTGATGATGACAGCGAACAGTCCATTGAAGTTAATGAGGATAGATATAGAGCAGCCTGCAAACATTTTTCCGGGGCCCAAGATAGACCTTGGCTTTCCTACAAAAAAGAATGCGCCTATAAAGGCCCTAAAACTTTCCAACTTTTTTATCTTTCAATTCAGTAGTGACTGCGCCTCATTTTTGAAGAATTGTGCCAAAATAATTTTAAGGTTGCCGCTAAAGTTCCAGCTGACGAGGGGGTCTTCATCTTTAGATCTTGCGTGCATGCTGATTCCAGAGCTTGAAGAAAGGGGTTTGACTGATGCCTTCGAAGTGTTAATGGAACATCAGTGGATCACTGGAACAGAAGCTGATCGGGCAATGCAGGCCTACAAGCGTGTATGTTCCTTGGCATCCACACAAACATCATTGAAAAGTCTTGATAGGAGCACGGATCGGCTGGATGCCCTTTGGGTGCAAATTTGTGGTACAAACAATGAACTGCTCACTTTTGACAAAATAATCCTCACCCTTTCGCTCAGAAACGCATCTGTCGAGCGGGGATTTTTTTATCAACAAAGATTGCCTGGTAGAAAATCAAAAGGAACAATCTCCGGTTTCCCAACGAATCATTTTCAACGCCGTGCCATCAGGTGGAGGAGCTGGACGAGTAATGCAACATTCTAGGCTGATGTGTATTAACAAGGTTTTGTGGCATATGTGCAGCAGAGTCATTGCAACCCCTCAGTGATGCTACATGCGCACGAAGGCAATAAACACGGTTTGAAGAATCGCCGTTTGAGTACCATGCAACCTTATGCATTTGCGATAGTTGTACTATTTTTTAACTTTTGCTGGGCACTTAAGTCGAACATATTGTCATGGAACTACGCAAAAGTGTGACATTAAAAAAGCAAACTGTTGTTTCTCTTTAATTATGTGTTGTTTTTTCTAAGAAATCTGTGTGCACTTACTTCGTAACCTTGTACTACAAACAGGTGGATGAGAATGTTTGCCATTTCAACCGTTTTTGTTTCTTCGGTGTCTCTTGCACTATTAACCTTTTAACAGTCCATTTCCCCCCAAGTTTGTTCCGAAAACGTGTATTGTTTTTTTATTGCTAGATTAGAATCTTTGATAAATTTATTTACATATGGTTTATGCTTACTCCCTTCTTATTACCAAGCATACTGTCAGCACATAGCTGGCATAATTTTGTTCTGTCGTACACTGTCCTAGCAGCTGCATTGGTTCTTGTGCTAACTTCTCTGCCTCTCTCCTGTTCCAGCCCACGATGTGCATGTGAATGGCTCTCTTCTAACTCCCCTCTCACTCACACTTCCACTAACTCACAAAACGGCATCCTGTGTGCACCTTGGCAAGGGCTGGTTTTGGAGTGACATCTAATGACTTGCTTACTGTGCTATGAATTCAGTGAGTAATTCTCTTTTCCTTATTGATTTAAGCCTAATTGCTCTGTATTTCATGCTGCTGTGTGGTGTGCACAAATCCTCAGTCCATGGGTGCTTACAAGCAAGAAGTCACAATGAATGCAGCTGCTTTGTGGTACTCAACTATGGGTCTCTTGGTATATGTCAACCAGTAGAAGTAGTAGGGTTTATAGAAGCCATGTTATGTGAAGGGATGTCCTGTGGTTTTCAAGAGTGCTAACCACACCTGTTAAGAGTGCTCACCAGCTTCAAAGCAACGCAGATTTAACCTTTTTGTGTCCCTAGATAGCAGCACTTACACTATACCAAAAGGAGGGAAGTTGGAGTACACCCTAGGCTTATAAATGTCACCAGGACATGAAGGTTTTAATCGTTCCACGTGTGAAAAGTGGTGCTGCTCAAAGCTTGTCTGTGAATACTTCAAAACACAGTGAACACTCTGCATTTCCACCAGCTAAGCTGTAGCAAATATGGTGGAGGGGCTTTAGCTTTGTTATGCACATGCCGTGCCAGGGGGTGTAAGCCATTCCCTCCAAATTCTCAGTTTTATTACACCATTCCCATAGTAACCCAAACAGTGGGTAATGACCTGTCTTCACAGTTATCTGCTTCTTATTATGACAGGCTATCAGACGTGTTTAGCAGTGTTTAGCAGCTGGTTTGGGAAAGGTACGGTGCACAGTTGTACTAAGGTGACCATTTGAATAAACTTTCCACTGTGCGTAGAAGTTACTCCCCACTACCAATCACAGCACATCGTTCTAGTTCGTGATGAAGCACTGCACGAGCAGGGCTTACTCGAAAGCCCCACATACTCTGCTGTGAAGAGCGGGCACAGCAGCGTTGGAGTAAGGCGTAATATGTGTGTTGTCATTAAACATCCGGAATGAAATTTCATTGAATAGTATCTACAACCTACTGTTTTTATTAATCTTTTTACGCAGGGCCATCTCACCACTATTCGGAATTGACTATGCCTTAAAAAGCAGCTTTTATTATATTTTTATGCTCTTTTTTTTTCCCGAGTGCAGCCTAGGCTGTTTTATCTTTAAGGGGAGATGCGAGTCGACGAAGTTTTTTTTTCTGAAGTTGTATATTTTTCATTTTTATTTGCTTTCACAAGTTTATTTCTCTCCTTTCATGACAAAAAAAATGAATATTGTAATTAAACTCAAAGTTGGTTAAAACCACTTTTCAAGAGCTCATGGTGGCAACGAAAAACTAAAAAGAGCTCATTTTCTAAAGTTCGCTGGAATTTCTTACCTGGCTACTTGTATTGCGTTTCACATGAGGAGTTCACTAAATCCACATGCTCAAAGTAAGCATGAGTGCCAAGCTGTCGTGAAAGAAGAAGTAATCTTTAAAAAATTATATATTTTATATAAATGAGGTTCCCCTTACATCATTAAAATGCATCTTTTTCAAGATCAATTTTTGGGCAACTTTCTTTAGTTTAAACACCATGTTCTTGGTATTTCTGATAGGCCGATAGGCCGATTGGGACAAAATTTTGTCCACTTATTTTTTAATGTACTAAGGGTTCAAATATGTTCTTTAAAATTTGATGTCACTTGTATAACTATTGCAAACCTATAACGAACAATTAGTATGGGGCGAGAATTCTAGCGGTAACTCCTGAGCGGTAAGCGGTAACTCCTGTGTACTGACCTCCTTTCCCGGTTCGCCTTTTCAGAGCTGTACAAGCTTGTTCGTCTCAAAGGTGGCAGAGGGGACATGATGAATGATCGAGTGCGAGCCAAGATCCAGAGTATGATCCTGCGCATCGGTGAGCACCTATTACGCTTATTGCATGCAAGAGGAATTTCTAAGCATTCCTCCATATTGCTGGGAGTTGCGTCTTGAAATGGCTTAGGGTGGTTATCGCAAAACCTTCACATAGGTTATCGATGCTTGAAAAAGCTTTCCCAAAGTGATTTCTTCACTTCTCTTCACATAATGAATGTACACATTACAAAGGTCTCGGTGAAACATACGAAAAAAAGAAATGTTTGGCAGTTCCGCTACTGTGAAACCTGAAGAAGTGCGAAGCACAGGTAGCACGAGCACCTAGTTATTCTCATTTGTTGACTTTATGCATCCCTGATTGCCTAAGTGTCAATGGTGCCAATACTGTTTGAGGCAAGTTTGTTAGGAAGATTTGGAAACTTTGTGCGCAACATGTGCACTACTTCTTGCTGATCTTTATCGACTTCCTGCTGAGTCAGTTGAGATTGCGTGATCCATCAAGTTGTTTCTCCCACCATGTGCAGCAGCTAACGAAGCACGGGGGGAGGGCATTCGTGCACCTATTCGGGGGCAAGGTGGTGGCACACTATTTTGTTAGCCTCGGAATAGTGACAGATTTTTAAACATTTTTAGCAATTTTAGGTAATTATGGCCATTGCTTATGTTCATTATGGTATTTTAGACCTTGTTTATTCATTTTAAACTGATTTTGAGCATTGCTAGTTTTTTTTTTATAACCTGTATTGAGTGCTTTACTGCGAGCGTGATCATGCCACATGAGATGCATGGATGATGGCAGACCAAGCCCCTTAACAGCTCCGCACTTAAAACAAAGGGGGTCTTGCTACACTGTCTGTAACTGGGGAGTGTTTAGGGCATCATCTTTTATGGGTTCAGCTAATTAATGTAGTTTAAGAATAATAAAACACACTGAAAATGAAGACAAAAATGAAGGCACTCTTTCACATAGCGCTACCGTCAACAGTCTTATTTTGCAATTTCAAGGCTACTTATTGGACCGAAAAATATGAGCACATCGGCAGGCAGGCAGTAGAACAAGGTGGTTACTACTCACCAAAATGGATGCCAATAAAATCAATTTTTTTTTCTTGTCAAACAAAGGAAAGCAACCACACTTCTTACAATGCACTACTTAGAAACTAGCTGCCACTTTTCTAACATTGTAATGATGTTCACACAGCCATTCACTTAGGCAACAACTGGTTTAACCGAAATAGCTCTGGCCACATGATAGCGGCACGCAATGCACCACACACTAGCGCAATCAGCAAGCTTGTTTTCGTGCTTTGTTTAGCACCCCTGATTATCATTTGAATTTGCATTTCTCAATGTGATCCTGCACAGCCTTTCCAGCTTATTTGCAAGGTTATACTGTACTTATATTCCACAGATGCTTTTCTGTATATAGAAATGCTGTGCACTCTTGAATTGTCGAATATAGCTAATTGAGACACGAGTGAAAACAGCTCTAAAAAGCCTGCTCAGGTGATGACGTGGGACTGAGGTGCTAACAACTAAATGTGTTTGTTTCTTCAGTCAGCATATACCGGGTGTCTCAGCTACCTTTAGCCAAGCATTAAAAATTACAATATTAGAGGCAGGAGAGTGTAAAGTTGAGGGCTTGTTTTCTTTGTTAGACTCAATAATAGTGAGAACGAGACATTAATGCTGGGAAAGAGTAGGAGATGCTATTAAAAGTAATTATTAAAAATAAAAGGAACAAAATAAAAAAAATGTCTGTAGTGCACAACTTAGCTCTCAGCAATATGCTACTGATTTTACTTGCCTGCCTTCATTCACTATCATAGATAGCCGGTACTAAGTGGATATACTTCACCACTACTAGAATGAAACAGAAAATCGAATGCGTACTCGGTTTGTGCAGAGGCAATGAGGTGATCAAGGTCCATGAATTTTGTCTCCTTCAAAAGGAAGGACGAAAATCGAGGGGAGGCCGCTCTTGTGTTTTTATTTATTTGAAGAGTCCTTACAAGCGCCGTTATAGGCATTGCGTAAGGAGAGCATCACAAAAAAAAAAATGATCACACATAGTGAGTACATATCATACAGGATGAAATGGACAGAAGTACGCACATAGCTTCATAGCTATGTGATAAGCTTTTGAAGTGAGACGTGATGGGTCGCCATTCATATTTTCAGGACACCACTTACCCGTCAAAGTAACATGGCAAACATGCACGTCTCTATAAACATAAGGTTGTGGCAACATTGAGCGGCAGTGCATGCGCTGGCAGAGGAAGGTATGCTCGTGTTGCCCTTACTACGAAAAAAATCTCAGTGCTGGGTAGCTTCGCGATACAGGAGGAAAGAGAAATTTATGATGCTCTCCTCTTAAAAAAAAAATGTCGGGCATGTGTGCAGCTTCTTTGCTGACTCTTTCTGACAGAGAGCTTGATTATCTGCAAAGAAATTGATACCACAGGCATTTCAGTCTACGGATTTTTGGATTTGATGCGAGTACACGGTGGCCATCTCTCTGACCATACAGACAGATTCCACCAGACATACATAATGAAAATGCGGGGGCACTGCCGTTGGGAGTTTAGTTTCACGTGGTAGGCAAAAGTCGCCGTGCCTGCCGCAGTTGCCACTGAGTTTTCGCTGCTGCGTGCGCTGTTTGTCGTCATGCAAAGAAGAAAAAAACGGTGTACCGACAAGCTGTCACGGTTATTTGCATGGGAAGGCACAAGAAAGATAGGTTAGGTTTTTTTTTTATGTTTACAAAAACTATCGCTGAAAGATTTTCTGTGTGAGAACTTGCCTTCAATGACGGCTCGCCAGTTATGCTTTGGAGCGGCTTACCTAGTGAAAAGGATGAGCTCTGTCAAGCACTGTCAGTGTAATGTGCCACATTGCATTTTTTGTAATAAGCCTTGTGTGGAGATGGACATAGCATGCATGTTTATCTCAAAGCACATTAACGATGTCAGTAACGTTACCATATGTGGATATGCAAAGAATTTTTCATGGTTGCTATTGGGAGGGGGGGGGGGGGGGGTGATTTAACTGCAGAAGTCTTAGATGCGTCAAAAGTATGTCTTTATACTCGCGTGACTAGAGGTGTCACTTGGTCATGAAGGATGCGTTTCTTTCTGCGCGTGGAACACAATCTGTTGAAACAGCAGTGAACGATAGTATCGACTTAGAGTATGCTTTCCCTGTTTAAGGCTATGGTGACACACTTAACACAAGTGTGTCAGGCAGGGCTGTTCTGGTTGCATTGGGCGTCACGACATTTTCATGTCCGTGAGAATTCACACAGAAACAGTTATCAAGAAACTTGGCGAGTGTGCTCACGGTCTGTACGCATTTCGCGGCCTCGACTTGAGCACACGAATTCAGCCATAGACCGGACAGGTGCATAAGCGCATTGTCCCCGGCATGTAGTTGAAGCATTATCGCAAGTGTATTGAGAATGAGTGTCGCCAAGACGCTCTGGTCGTTTGCATCAATAACTTCTTCGGCACTTACGCGATAATTTACCGTAATGGTTCGCAGCTATGTTTTTGCACTGCACATTTGCATATCGCACCCAGAGCTTTTTGCTGAACTGGGTCTGTCATTCTTGCGTTAGTCAGCAAATTAAAATGTATGTACACAAAAGGCGTAGACTGCCGCTTCGGCGCTGACGTTTCGTGCATGTCATCACCGTTCAGATACCTCATGTTTTTATAAGGTCCTCATAGCTAGAGCTATATGTCAACAAGGCTCATATGTTCACTGCAACTTCCCTTGTTGCGACCGTCGCTTGTCGACATATGGGATGGGTCTCTACGCTCCGTGCTCGGAGGCAGCTTTTGCACCTGTTGCACCATTTATCACGTGATCATAGAGGTTGGTAGAGCGCTTTTGGCCGGAACGGCTGGGTCGAGCCTACGCGCTGCGATGTTGCTGCAGCAAACCAACATACGATATCGATGGCGCCTGCCTTTGTTTACAAGCATGGAATGGGTCTATACATTTGAATGTTGTATGTACTAATAAAGTTTACTTGAAAGCTAGTGTGGTGCCATGTTTTTTATTCTGCTAGTAATCATGACCTATTATTCGGGACACCAGCTAGTCCAAATACCTTATTTTTTACATGAAATTGTTTATTCACGCATTTTATTTCACGCACTTGTTTTGCAATTTTGAAGCTCCAAAAAGGGAGTGCCCAAATTATGTGGAGATTTCATGAAAGCATCCAAAATAATGCCTGTGGCTTATACAAAAGTAAAAGAAGAAAATAAAGCACTAACAAAGTGTGCTTAATAATTAAACAGAATTAGCACATACTTTAACCAGCCAGATCTGGTCATGTACGGTCTAGTTGGAATCACTGGTTGAGAGCTCGGATTGGGAATCATCATCGCAACAGCTGTAACCACCTCCCAAAGCGCATCGTCCTAGGTCCGTTCCATAGAGCACATTGAAATGCTCCATTTTCTTAGAGCTCTTCTCCACAATGCTGGGAACAAGCAGGTCCCATTTACGGCATTTCCGGAGGACCTTAGCTTTCGCACATATTCGAAAAGTCCTTCTTCAACTGAAAGAATATGAATTAGCAGTGCACATTCCTGTGCTTTCTCCCATGCCAAACATCGCACGTTAAAGAACTTCACGCTGAAGTGCTTGGCAGTGGTATGGTTCCCGTTTTTCTGGCAAACTTTATAACAGCAAGCTTGCATTCCACTGTTTATAAGATTAATGTAGCCCATCACAAAGGAAAAGTAAAAACAAGTCAGGTGAATGGTGAAACCTAAATTTCTGAAATCAACTAAGGGTGCGTTGCAGTGCAGATGCAGAGAATGAGGGAAACAGTCTGTATGACAAGCCCTTCTGATGCAAGAAATAGTCCATGCCTTGTCGCGAGCATGCATTCTCACGGAAGAAGAGATAGACGGAGGCAAACACTCGAGCTGTTCTGACGTCCCGTTAACAGGTTTAGATGTATGGGTATATTATTCCATGTAGTTTGATAAAAAGGAATTCATACTTCGCACTTGCAGCCTGTTTTATGTATGACCTGCACTCGCCTGCTCGGCGAGTTGGCTTGGGCAGATCGGGAAGCGCAAAATATACAAGTAAATATTTTTTTTAGTAAAGCTGGCTAAGTATTAGAGCTGAGGAAGTTACGCCAGGGCACAAATTACCGTAAAAACTGGAATATCGATCGAAAGTTTTTTTTTTATAAAAGCGCAATTAAAAGTCGACACTCGTCTTGTATATCAGTCATAGGCAGAAAAAGAAAATGTGGAAATCGCGCAACAAGGCAGCTGAAGTCAAAAGCCTTTAATGCCATCGTGAGCATCAGCAGCAGCGCCGTGGGGCAAGGCTAGGCTAGGCCTACAGTGTTCTAGCAACGTCATTTTGCCTTGGTTATCTGCTGTCAGTCTGTTGTTTTCTTCGTTCTATTTTCTTCTGAAATGAGTGGTGGTCGACAGCAGTTTATGATAGGCTTTAAGGAAAAGCTATCGAGTATGCCGAAGCACATGGCAACCTGGCGGTACAATAAGAATTCAGTGCATCTGAATAAAGCGTCCAATGCTAAAGGAGCCAAGAGCAGCGCATCTCATCTTTCAGCTACAAAAAAAAAAAAACATTGTTTCGTGGACAGAGAGCAGTGCACCCCGAACTTTAAACTCTATTTGCCAAATTCCTTCGGGAGCCACGTGCAAGGTCGATTTCCGTAACAGTGGAGTGCATCTGTGTGAAAACTCTCGAGATAGTGTACTACTCTGGGCTCACGAGTGTGCAGTCCAAGGGATCGTCATCGTAGGCACGCTGGTTTATGAAGCGGAAAGCCTTTGCGCTGAGGCAGCATACTTTCGTTTTTCAGGAAATGCTGCATCAGTAACACATTGCATAGAATGGAGGACGAACTTTGGGACGTTACTAGTGAAGAACAGACATTGTCAGACTCAAGTTTGGATGAGTCCTTGTGACAGTACTTCGTGGCTCTCTGGTGTTTAACTATATAGGATTAGTGTCCAAATAAAAAAAAAATCACCGTATATCCACGGAATGAATGATGATGAGTGGGGCGAAGCTTCCGTACATCCGTCCGTGCTTCCATTCATGCGTCCATCCATACGTGTGCCCGTTCATGCGTCCATTCGTCCATTTAGCGAACACTTTGAGTATCGCCATCTCGCTTCTTTTCATCATATCGTATTTACTCGCATAATTTGTGCCCTCGCATAATTTTGGCAGCTTTGAAAACAAAACAAATATTTATTTGCATATTTTGCACTCCCCGACCCACCCGTGTCAGTCGCTGGCGCGTGCACAAATAGACTTTACAATGCTTCGCACGGGTGCGCACCTTGCTGAGCTGACAAGTGCAGTCAAACGGGCTATGGGTACAGAGTCTATTCTTCCGAGGCCTTCTCCTGAACTAGGGTCCCTAGAATACCGTGCACGAACACTCAAACCTGGCTGCTGATGGGTCGGCGGAACTGCTCGAGCGTTTGCCTTCCTCTATTTCTCCATCTCTACCACCTCAAGTATGCACGCTCGTGTCATGGCACGAACAACTTTCTGCTTCGGAGGCGTGCAAGCGCCGAGCTCCAAGACCTGTCGCACCAACCGTTCCCCTCGTTCTCTGCATCCGCGCTGCAACGCACGCTTGGTCGATTTCCGAAGTTTAGGTTTCGCTATTCGGCCGACGCGTTATCATGTTTTTCTTGCGATGTGCTACAGTCATTATATATGCAGTCAAATTGAAGCTCGTTGTTGTGAATTTTGCAGAAGAAAATGGGAACCGTGCCACTGCAAAGAACTTCAAGATGACCTACTTCAACGTGTGACGATCAGCGCGATTGGTACACAATAAAGCAGAGGAGTGTACGCTTTCTAATGCAAGTTTTCTGCCACTGAAGAAGGCCTTTTCAATTATGTGCGAATGCTTAAGTTACCCAGTACCGCCACGTCATGAGGCCAAGTCTCTCACACTACTGTTGCGAAGAGCGTCAAGAAAAAGGGGCATACGAATGCACTCGACAAAACCGAAGAGGATGCACTTTGGGAGGGCAATGGCAAACAGCCGCGACGATGACTCCCAATCGAACTTCGCGATCAATTCATCTTACTAGATCGAGCATGACTGGATCTGACTGGTTAAAGTACGTGCTAAATCTTCTAAATTAACAAGCATATTTCATTTCTGCTCCGATTTTTTAGACGTATATATTGCGTGCGTTGGGATTGTGACAAAATATTTTGTACGCCCTCGCAGAATCCCCGCGTAATTTGCGCACCCCTTTCTCGGGGCCCCGAAATCGTGATAAAAAGTGCGCACATTATGTGAGTAAATACAGTATATTCATCATATAAAAGTACCGCCATCCAGCGGACAAGCGAAGTACTAAACAAGAGTATATACCACATTTCTGCTGTCAGCACCTTGTTAACTCTGAGAGCGTGATTACGATGCCGTTCTACATTTTTCATTACACAAGGACATGCAGATATGTGCCCAAGGTCGGGTATGTGCCACAGGTTACGCACTACAACAACGGGGGACGCACAAGCCATGCCATAAGGAGCTTTGTTCCTAAAAAGAACATTCCCACAGTGCAGCTGGTTCTGTCGCGCATTTACCAACGTAATGGTGCACCGCCATACTTCGATATTTTTTAAAGTTTCTTTTTTTGGAGAGTCAAAGTATGGGGGGTCGACCTATATTTAAGTCCAACTTAATTCCAGTTTTTACGTTATGTTAGTAAATATGGTATATTCCTACCCTCGTGAAGCTTTGTTTTCTAGTGTCTAGCTATGCGATCAAAGCAAGTTCAAGGTTTTAATGAGTAGTTTTTGCTTCATTGTTCCTGGAAACAATACTAATTGATTTTGATTAACTTCAGAACTGATTCACATATCTTAAAATTGCTAAACTACTTGCATATTTGGAATCAGTTAAGAAAACTAAGGAAATTTTGGCTGTTTTAATAAATCTAGGATAGGTTTTAACCTTTACTCACTTCCCCGTTAACTATGCCAACATATGAGTGTGGTATATTATCTTAAGAAAATATAGAAGGTGAAAACGTCTTTAAGGTAAGTAATTCCCCCCGAAAGGGTGTAGCATCGTGGTGTTCTGTCCCCTACGTGGGTGCAGCCAGTGGTTGTGACAGCCCCACATTAGGGGGTCCTGTCAGTAACTCCTCAGTACCAAATGAAGTTCATTGTATGCCTGTCCTCCCAAATCTGTCTTGTCTCTCTCCCGTGGAAGGTGCTCCCTGTTCGAGCGTCATCTGTCTTGCACTGCCACAAACGTGACCCATCGCCTTCTATTTGTCTGCTTGCGCACATCATTACAGATGTACAGCACTAAAGCAGCAACAAATCTATGAATTGAACATTGTGCCCATCTTCGTTCATTTTAAACATTCAGGTCAGTTGTGGAGTTTTCAAACTAATTTAGTCAACAATGCTGGGTGTTTGTATACAGGATTGTGGGAGTGATTTATTTTTGATGCTGAAAAAATAAGCATCACAAAAACAACGGGTATTATGACAAGGGGTAATGGAATGTTCGTCGCCCGCAACATATGATTGCTTGAGCTCGCAAGACTTATGATAGCCTCGACTAATCACGTGGGGTGAGGATAAATGTTCTATTACAAAAGCCATTGTATGTTCTGCACAGTGACACAAAAAGACAAGAGTGCTTTTGCTGCTCTATTTTCAATTCTAAGAAATCCCTCTTTAGCTGCTCTGGTTGTTTTGGTGCAGGCCTGTTCCTGGTGACGGCTGTTCTGCTGGTGTCATGCACCTATGTCTGCCACATCTACGAATTCCGCAATCAGCCCATTTGGGAAAGAAGTCTGCGCAAGTATATTGCGTGAGAACTGCATTGTCTTTTTTGGGTGGAGAAGCAATGTGATAAGATCTGGGCTTGGGAAGATGCAATTGCTGGTGTATTTTAGCTAGTGATATCTTTTATCATGAAATCCGCATGTAGATGTTCATTTGACAGAAAAATAAAAAACGACAACAAAGGTTCAGGCTGTGTGTTGGACAAGGCTACTAAAAAAAAAAGAACAAGAGACTGACTCCTGAAAAAATATCAGTAAAAAAAAACACTGCTGCATCGATTATTTCGCATCCTCGAACAAGCGATGCTGTGCGCCGAGGAGGGATTCGCCGATAAGAAAATTTAATCTTGAGGAGCATCAAATATAGGCCAATAATATTGAATGTCGAGTTGTATATTAGATTCCCCGAGGGCACAATGTCAATTGTTTATTGAAGAGCTGATAACCAGCGGTTATCCTGCTTATGCACCGCATGCCTGTCCCATGTGCACTGTTTGTTCTTTATCTCCGCTATGATATCTTTAACACCCATTTGTCCCTGACCTAGGCTGCTCTCTTGTCTATTAAAGGGCCCCTTAACCACCTAGTGGTCAGAATTCAGTTGTGGTGTGGAAGTTGTGCCCATGTTGATCGATATGTGGGGTTTAACATCTCAAACCACCATATGATTATGACAGACGCCGTAGTGGAAGGCTCCGGAAATTTCGACCACCTGGGGTTATTTAACGTGCACCCAACTCTGAGCACACGGGCCTGCAACATTTCCGCCTCCATCGAAAATGCAGCCGCCGCTGCCGGAATTCAATCCCGCGACCTGCAGGTCACCAGCCAAGTACCTTAGCCACTAGACCACCGCGGCGGGGCAAGTTGTGCCCATGTGTACAACGAACACGAAGTAGGGAGAATTTTTCAATACGATGCTGTTACAGCAGTGTTTTTTAAAAGCCTTTGATTATCAGAATGCAGACATCACTCCTTTTGCTCTTTCCTGGGCTACTCTTTGCTGGTATCATCTCTCAAAGCCGCTTTGCCCTCTAGCCGAGCGTCCCTCCCAATCTCATGCTGCATACATCACCGCCAACGCACTGCTCAAAACACCATGTGCGTCTGGTTGCCGCTACTTCATTCCTCTGTCAACACTTCGTCAACTGCGTACTTGTTGGCAAACCGCTGCTGCCGTACTGACCCGTGCTTATACGAATTGTGTCAATATTGTCCCTGTGTTGCGTGCTTGCCTTGAAAGGATCGCCAACATACCGGTTCCGTACAGCGACATGCCGTGCCAGAGCACCTCTGCACGAGATAAGGAGCTGCCGCCACCGCCTTCTCCAGATCATAGCGACGATATGGGTTGGCATATACGTTTAGTGATGTTTGCCCACTCACTGTTACCCGTCCCACAGTAATGGCATTTTCTGTGAAGGCACAACACGACGAACAACAGCAAGCAGCATGGACAGCTGTTTGCAGACTAACTGTAAGTCATCGTCTCTTGCTCGACCAATCAAAGCAAATTTGTGCTGCGCGTAGGGGATTCCTCGTCTCAACATCACGTGGAGGCCCGGAAGACCTAGAAAGGAGGAGAAATCGCTATTTGGAATTTCTGGTGCGTCGGCGGCTCCTAGAGCTGCGGCATGTAGAATTGATCGTGACAGCATTTTCCACATGCTGCGTGCATTTATTTGAAATGTTTAAAAAAAATGTCGAAGATGGTTTAAGGGCTCTTCAATGTTCCATCGCTTGCTGTGTCATCGACAGTTTAAGTTGAACCCTCTTTGTAAGCCTCCAGGTTTCTGTTGTGTAGGTAAGTACTGGTAAGATGAAACTGTTATATACCTTCTTCTTGAGAGATAGTGGTAGACTACCAGTCATGATTTGCGAATGCTTGCCCGATGCACTCCACCCCATCCTTATTCTTCTAGTTATTTCGCTCTCATGGTTCAGCTCCGAGGTTATTACCTGTCCTAAGTAGACATTGCCCTCTACAACTTCCCAGGTCTCGGAACCTATCGCAAATTGCTGTTCTCTGCCAAGACTGTTCCACATAACTTTGATTTTATGCATATAAATTTTCTGACCTACTCTCTTGCTTTCCATGTCCATGTCAGTAATTGTGAGTTGCAATTCATCCCACGAGTTCATCAGTGTATTGTCATCACTGAATAACAGGTTACTAGGGTACTCCCCATTGACCTACCCTATTGACTTTCGCAGCCAATGATCTGCCGTACGGTCGGAAAGGCTACAAGCACTCTGACCGGCGAATCGCCGGCCGTCTACAAAATGTTTATTTTTTACATTGTTTCATAAATGGCGGCACAGTATCTTGTATTTGCCTTTTGCTTGCTATATTAGCCGCTAGATGGACATAGTTGTACATGCTTCTTGCCTGCTTGTAATTTTTTCTTAAGCGGCTAAAGGTGTAATATCTCGGCTTTTTCGAAGCATCTCGTCATGGAAAAAATGTGGTGTCGCGGCCTCGTCAATGCGCCTACAAGCCGCCAAATGGGTTGTTTTCTTCACTACATCCTAGCAAACAACATTAAGCAGAATCTATCAAGACTATGCTCAGTTTGTAAGGCACAGGGCAAAAAGTTTGAGAGCCGATAAGAGTGGGAAAAATGTGAAGTTGCTAGTAATTTGAAGCACATGTAACTTGGTATGTGGGGTTTAACGTCCCAAAACCACCTTATGGTTATAAGAGACGCGGCACATTTAAATTCAGATAAAGTGTGTAATAATGCCAATACTATAAAGTCTTACTGTGTTGATCGGGTATTTTTATTTTTTATATTTTCATATCTATAGTAACCATTTTCAGCGGTCTAACCTCAAGAAAAACAAATAATTTTCTGTCTCTCACTAGACCTTTTGTGGAGCTGGAGTTCAGTACTTTGGCGTGTCATCCCTCAAGGGTTATGACAGCGTGTGCTTGACATGAATGATGGACACCTGAAGTGGCCATAGTCCCCTTAAAAAGCGTTCTTTTCAGTAGCGCGAAATTGGGTCCAAAAGATGCAATACGATATTTTCACTTAAGCTTTCAGCTATGCATGCGATATCAAGGAATTGTATTGTTATACCAAGTAAGGCTTGACGTAGTCCATGAGGAGCACTAGTGTTGCCATTTCGAAGGTCCACGCGTTCGCTGTGCACTCTAAAAACTTGATGCATGCGCTGTGTTGGAGATCCTTGTGGTCACTTGGATGACTAAAGACTCCTGGAACACTGATGCACGTACAACACGACTGGCTTGTACGAATGGACCTCCAAAATGGCGTAACGATTATGTTGCCGCTTTGTGGATATAACTGCTCCAGGTAACAAGGCACTTTTCCTACAGTCTTCTTGCAGTGAGAGTACAGCACGTAGAATGGTATACGAGCCATCTGTAGTGCACGTGCTAGTGATCGCAACTGTGCCCTTAAGTCATGCGCTGTGTTGGAGATCCGTATGGTCACTTGGATGACTAAAGACTCCTGGAACACTGATGCACGTACAACACGACTGGCTTGTACGAATGGACCTCCAAAATGGCGTAACGATTATGTTGCCGCTTTGTGGATATAACTGCTCCAGGTAACAAGGCACTTTTCGTACAGTCTTCTTGCAGTGAGAGTACAGCACGTAGAATGGTATATGAGCCATCTGTAGTGCACGCGCTAGTGATCGCAACTGTGCCCTTAAGTCAAATTTCACAATGGCTGCTCTAGTGACACACCCTTGCGTTCTTTCATGCTCGTGGAAGACAGGCGCCGTTCCTTTCTGCTTGAGTAGCAATCCATGGCAGGCCTGGCACTCCAGGTGCGGATGTTGCATGTGCCCTCCGTGCAATAGAAATAAGTTGGCCCTTTTTCTCTCTGTCAGCTGCCTTCGTCGTCTCTGCTTGCGCACTTTTATTGACGTGTAAAACATACTATGCGCGGTGGGGTGTTATTGATTCGGACATTACAAAAAACATGACGGCGTCGACAAAAACAAATCGAGAATGTCTATATAGTTTTCGCTTACAAATCGTCTTAGGCGAATGCATGAGGTACCCTAACATAAAGTACCATAACATACCGGGGATTCCAACCAGTGACTCCTCGCTCCTCAGCCAGCTGCGCTAGCCAACACAGCCAGTCGACATGCTTGTCCCGGCGATATAATGGCGAGCTATTCATATGCATCATTTAGCGCTCGCAGTACGCAGACCTCAACACAGCTTGAGCTTATTTCTATCACCAACGCTTTCACATATTCTTTCGCTCAAGGAAAAGTGGCCCCCTTCTGAATCACTTATGATGTAGAATAGAGAGAAAAAATAATAACAAACGTGGGGCACACAAAGTGTTAGACGCCACCGCGTGGCAGAAAACGCAGAAGGTTCATTTGACGTGTCGCAGTTTAAAAGAATAAAAGAAAAAGAAAAATCAAGCAGCGTCGGTTTCTGCATTGCGGACATGTTTAGCAGGCTTCTCAAATACAAACACGTAACAACTACGAGAGTTGTTAGTTCACACTTGTCCTGTGTCGTCTGTGTTCTTTTCGAGCATCTTTCTTTGTGCTGCAGCGGCTGTGCTGACAGTATCGAGCCGCTTCTCGTTTTTTGTGCGATATTCTAATTCATAGCTTTGCACTAGTCGTGAGACTGGGACTTTTTTTACTTTTTTCATTGCTTTCCATATACAACGTGTGAGGTCTCGATCTAGAGAGCACCACGCTCTTGGAGTGATTGGACACAGCAGACACGGTCGGAATGAACGAAAACAACACGCATTTATTAACTACTTTTAGAACAACGATATCATCTGCCGAATTATTATAACATTAAGTGTGATCTACACGCTAAGACAGCCTTACACGAACAACATTACAGGGGGCGTTAGCACCTCTGCGAATGTTGTTCTAAAAATGAAACGAAGTTTGTTAAAGCTTGGAGTCCACCTTTGTACGCACTTTCTCACACTTTCGCAGAAGCCCGAATGAAGGATACCTCTATATCTGGGCAACCTGGTGCATAGTATGAAAGCACTGTGAGAATGCTCCTTCTCCAGCACAGATAGGCCTCAAAGAGAGGGAATAAAGTGTTGGTGGCTTTATGAGGCTGTCTTCATGTTACGCCCAGCAATGTAATCTATTGTGAAGAAAAAGAATCTCTCTTTCTCTTTGGTGTTGTCTTCGGGGAATACATTCGGGACAGTATGATCTTCACTATTGGGTTATACGTTGCAGCGCTTCTCTGCCATGCCTACTGACAATCACATAGGTGAACTTGGCATGTTATTTTATAAAGTACAATTTTTTAATGCAAATTATCACTGAACAAGTTGTTCCAAAATGCTGAAATGCATGACATCATTTTCGCATCATCAAGTAAAAGAGGGAGGGCTCCTCAGATGATTGGCTTTATGAGATTTGTAATGAATCACAATAATTTTAGCTCTTCACAAGATCCGCAAAATGACTATTCTGGTCCTTGAATGTCTATGCAACTTGCTTGTCCAGTGTATTTATTTATTAAAGATACTTTCAAGGCCTGAAGGCACTACAGAAAGAAGTGGGGAAAACAATAATTTACAAGTGTATTAGAAAAAAAAGTTGCAGGGCATCTTGTACGGCGAGCTTGAAACGTTTTTCGTCTATTATGCAGGCGATGGATGCGGGAAGGTGGTTCCAGGCGGTGCTTGTACTAGGAACAAATGATTCATTGCACAATCTAGTGCGACAGGATGGTAGACCCACCTTATAGTGATGATCGGTCCTCGGTGATATGAAACTAGTTCGATGAAATAGGGCGTCCTTCAAATGGCTGTTAAAATGATAGATTTTGTGAAAGAGGTTAAGGCGAGACAATTTGCGGCGCAACGAAAAGTCAGGCAAGTTTAAAGTGTTTTTCATGGATGTGACACTGGAATGACGTGAATAATTCGATAAGATGAAATGCGCTGCGCCATTTTGAATGGCTTCGAGAGTTTCAAAGAGAATGGCATAAGCTGTGTCCCATATGGCACATGCGTACTCTAATTTTGATCTTACCAATGTTTTGTAGAGTGTGAGCTTGATTGACGATGGGGCAGAGGAAAAGTTTCGACGCAGGTAACCAAGCATGCGGTTAGTATTGTTATTTACATATTCTACGTGCACATTCCATGAATGATTAGAACATATATAAACACCAAGATATTTATAATGTTCAACAGATGGTAATGGAATGTTATTGAGGAAGTATGTACGCGAACAATGGGTAGTAGTGCGGCATGAAACTCGCATGCTTTTACATTTAGTTATGTTAAGTGTCATGAACCATTTATTACACCATTTGAATACTGCATCTAGATCGCGTTGGAGGTTAAGAACTCCAGAATGTGAAGTTAGCTGCTCCAAATCTCTCACGTATAAACGTACCTGGTCCTAAGTGCTCCAGAATAGATAATTTTGATGCTCCAAAGTACTCCAAAATGAAAAATTGCTCCAATTCAGAAGACCACGGTAGCATGACTGCCTTTGTAGTGATGCGATAACCCCAAGTCCTGCAAGCATGTAGAGTGTCCGTTTTTATTTACGGTTAAAGAACTGCCTGCTCCCTGCTGCCACGTTGTAAATGTGCATGCTTTCCTCTTCTTCTAAACCGAACAGGCGGCATAGTTATCTAAAGTAAAGATTTGTAAGTGTAAACATCTGTGGGGGAGAGAAATGGAATTTTGAAGTGTGCTGGGGCTGTGGTTGTCTACAGCTGTCATGCCAACGTGGAGACGGCACAGAGCTCTGTGCCAGAGCTTCCTGCGCGTGCATGTGAACCGGATGCTCGGCCAAGCCTGGCAATGCTGCAGCTCCACCTGGTGGCATTTCTCGGCTCCTGCCTGGCGCTAGCTTCCTGGGTGCTCACGTCGGCCACGGCCACCACGTGGAGCCACTTTTGGCACAGGCAAGCATACACTATGTCAGCTGTGCGGTTCTTGCACAGCCAGGGATTCCTTTTGAGCTCACCCTTCGCACCGAAAAAAATTACAGCAAAACTATTTTAATACAGCTCTTAGATTAACTGTTTGCAATGTTGAAACAAACCTTGTCTTGAAATAAGTTTGTGTATCACAATATGATCCAATACCCTCTGCAACTGCTAGTAGTGAGCAATCAAATCGCTGCACAGTTTTGTACATTTTAGACAGAGCTTATCTGAAACAGGAAGAACAGAAAGGTGCGAGCAATCAAGCTGTACACGCTTCTCCTATACTAGTTGAACTTAATAAAGTTTGCGTTCATGGTTCACATGCAAGTTGGCTTGTTTTGGGTCATGTGAATTCAGTACAATATAAATATATTGTGCATCCCAGAAACATTGGTAGTATCAAAATTTTTCCGTTTATTAAAATTAATTTCCACCGTGCATTTATTACAAATATTTGTTTGCCACTGAGATGATTGGCAGTAGATGGTCCCTCGCGATATGGTAGACATGCTTGATGCCAGCATACAGGCCAGGGCAAAATTGCCTCAACAGCTGCCACCACGTTTACAAAGTTGTGTTCATTGCCACTGCCGCTACAATAAGAAGAATGTGTGGCCTGCTGTGTTGCGTCTGGAAGCGTGAACGGCCGTGCTGAAGCAGAGTGACGCCAGGTCAGGGCATGAGGGGAACTAGGCCCAAGACACCACTTCGGCGTCACGCAACAGACTGCACTTTCTTTTTGATGTAGCAGCCGTGCCATTGCATTCTGCTGAGTAGAACTGCTGTCTACAAAGAACTGCAATCTCTATTGATGCAATTGTCAGTGGTGACAAAACAGTCGTTTCTGAGGGCTAACACAACTACTATATTGGATTTAGAGCTTCTCATGCAATTGCTGCCGATGGCATTGTTGACTTCGCTGCTCAGCTTCACTAGGCTGCTAACATTTCTTTGGTTTTCTCGAGCTGTACATTAAAAGGAGCACTGGCCCAAAATTTTGAAGGTGAGTTAATGAGCGCGATAGATTTATTTACAGACATACAAAACATCTATGAAATATCAAGTGCAAATATAGCTTAGAACATACTTTAAATCAACTTCAAAGTGTATGCCGCACGAGTGAGCAATATGCGGAGTCTGGGGCTAGCTTCCAAGGTGCTCACGTCGGCCGTGGCCGACGTGAGCACCTAGCGCAGGGGCAATGTAAACAAAACTACATCACGAGTTGGTGTTGGCTGGTTGCTGGCACGCGCCTTACGTCTGCACTACCTGCGATTTCCTTCTTTGTGCCTATGGTTTTGCATGTGCTCGCTGTCAGTGTGGTGCCACGTCACAGTTCTGTGTGGTCAGCTGTGTTTACCTTGCCCTTGGAACTGCTCCTGCCTAGCTCAGTGCTTTTTGAACCCGAAGCTAAGACTGGGTGCTCTAAAGACGTCTCTAAATAAGTAACCGTCATGCACACACAAATCAGGCTTTCAGCCGTGATAAGTGGGTCTTACTGTGGTGCTCCCAGCTACAGTCAAATTAACGTGTTTGATACCATTAAACTGCACATATGCCTGGCAGTGCACTTAAACCAGTATTCTATGTTAACCAGGGCTTTTATAAATTATGAAGGGTTATGAGGTTTTACTTCATGAATTCGTATGGTCAGTACAATAAATTTTGCAAAAACAAAATTTCGTGACAGTGGGCTTTCTGCGTGCCTCATTCATTTTGTTGCAGCAAGATTTGACCACACTAGGGCATCCCTAAAATTGACGTAAACAATGTGCTTGTTGGCCGGTGCAGAACCATTCTACGACAGCCATCTGAGGATCCTCCACGTGTGCAGCGACACAAACTCGTCGCAGAAGCGTTCTGTCGCCGGCACGAGCTGAATCGGGGACAGGGCTCAATCAGCTTTCACAGTGCACACGACGACCCGGTCGGTAAGTGTGCAAAGCATGTGAAAAACTACTCGTGCTATTCCATCGACGAGCGATTCAATGGCAGCAGGTGTCTTTGCTTAAAGGGCCACTAACCAGGTTTGACAATTTTGAGCTGACAAGCGCAATGCGCAGACGAGGCGGTCATGATCACGTCTGCCAAATTTTGCAATGCTACGCGCCGCGGAAATGGGTCAAATTTCAAGATGAAAGCTGCTCTTCCTCCCTTCTGCTGGCGCACGCGTAGAGAATGAGGGCATGACGTGGGTGTAGGAATGGCCTTACATGGCAATGCAGTGACGTTGGTCCTACATAGACGACTCTGCTCTGATGTTGTCAACAGTATGCCACGCGACATGGCAAAAATTATTTAACGCAACATGCGTAGTTTATGTATTTGTTGCTTTAAGAGATGAATAAAACTTGAAATAAATAATGAGACGCAATAAACAATTGTGCACGTTTTTCTTACATTTTTTTCCCATGAAATGCTACGAGATGTGGAGCTAATGTGCCAGCGTTTCGCATGCGCTCGGGTCCCCGCGGTCTGCGCATTGAGCAGACGACCGCCGTGGAACGCTCCTACGCGTTCGCGCACTCATTGTGCTCATCTACTCTACCGCGTCTAAGCCAGCGTTTCTAAACAATCCCGCAGAAACAGGCAGAAGACGACAAAATAACGCTGGTCAACAAAGCAATGCCGCTCGCGTGCACGGGGGCTTGGCTTGTTTGGGCACGTCATGCACACGTCACCTCTTGGTTGGATGCCGAAGAGGGTGGGGAAGAGATTTGGCTTGCGAAGGCTACGCGGAAGAGCGGCAAGGGTTTTGAGCTCGCCTCCTCTCACCCTCGTTTCGCGCCGCTTCAAAAATCCTGTTTTCTCCGCTCGTAATGAACCGATTCGAAAAATTTTTGTGGCAAAATGTTTCTCATTAGACACCCAACAACTTCTACTGTATAACTAAAATTCGGTATGGGGCCTGATGATGGCCCTTTAAGGTGCTGGGAGATTCACACAAGCTTACAAGGCACAAAGCACAAAAAGAGCATTACATTGTCCCTGTGTAGCCGTCATCACACCTATATGAAGGTAGGTGCAGTAAGCATCTGGTCTTGCGGACCCCTAAGAACCACAAAATGTCTGTAAATTTGGCCTACCAGAAAAAAGATTAAGTATCATCTTCTCTAAAGGAATCCTGATAGGATGCGAAGCAGCAGCGGTGCACCTGGTGTTGGCCTGGTTGAAATGCGTGTTCAGGCAGGTGCTGCAAGAACATTGAGCTCGGGAAGTTCCTACGGGCGAGGCGGGTAACGGTAAGCATGCGTGACGCTCATTGTCCGAACCGTGCCCGACATCAGCAACTCCTTGCAAGTGGCGCAGACCATAGAGTTTCCTAATATAAACTAGAAGGAGCTGGCGTTAGTGTCTATGGGAGCTGCAAGGCACAGCGCTTCAGCGAGCATGGGAATGATGGGTAGTACACATATTCGTCTAATCTTCGTGCTTCTGGCTCCATATCTGTTCATGTGGGTTGAAGCTCTTTTCTCACGAAACAAAAATCAACAGATATTCAGCCGTTGTGCTTCTCCACCTTATTTTTTTAGGCTTAGCTTTCCAAATCAAGTCAAAGTTCAAAAGAGTTCGTTCTTTCCTTCGAAACAAAACCGAAAGAGCAATAAATTAAGCCGCAAGTACGATTCGCCGCCCGGAAGTATGAAGACTAGGCAAATCTGTGTACTACCCATCATTTCTATGGTCACTGAGCAATCGCAGTGCCAGAGTCCCCTTTAGTTAATTTTAGGAAACTCTATGGCGCAGACCTCGAAGTCGGACAGGTCCGCGCCGAACTTGTGTCGAATCGCTTCGGTCGCTGCCTCCAGCTGCTACGGTCGCGGGTGGAACCGATGTTGAACAGGTGGTTGTTGAACCACAGACGGTCGCACGCGCGACAACTGTGACCGAAGCTACATTAGATGAACCCGAACCCTCGTCGGAAGCGGGTGTCAGCCCCGGCGTTGCTGGCGGCGTTGTGGATGGCTATCGGCACGTGCGGACGGGATTGCTGTTGCGGCAGTGAAACCCCTCCAGACCAGGGGGTGGAGCTTGATGCTTGCAAGCGGGTGCTTCGGCGGCAAGCGTGTGGCGCTCTCGAGACGTCGCGGTCGCCGGCGATGTCGAGGATTTGCCAGCGTTAGCTTTCCGTTGTAGGCGCTTCCGCTCAGCTTCTTTGGCTCGCGTCTCGTCGGTGTTACCCACGCGCTGTCTCTATTGTCATACGCAATCAGCGCGCTTGACTCACGCCTCGTTGGTGTCGTTAGTCTCGCACTGCCAAACCTTGCATTCGGCTTCCCTGGCTCGCTCCACGTAGATGTTGCAGGTGCAACATGACCATTCGTAAACCCAGTCAACTTTGCTAGCCCTCGCAACATCGTTAACGGCCAGGTTAGACCAAATTGTTGCAGCACATGATTCGACGGGCCAAGGCGCTTCACTTTCCTGCCGTCCTGTCTATCCCAGATAAACCAGCCGAAAAAGTGTTGTCTCGATGTGCGCTAGAACGTTGTCAGCGGAGAAGGGGAAGGGAGAGAGAGGCGACACACGGTCAGCACGCGGCAGGGGAGAGAGAGTGACGTCACTGTGCACTGCGAGGGAAGGCGGGACCTACTTGGCACCGCCCCAGTACTTGCGGCGAGAGGAGTGCGGTGCGGCGCATTTTCATGGAGACACGGACGGACAGCGTTATACTGGCTAGTCAAAGAGCCGCTTCGAATCTAACAACAATTTCGTGGCTTTTTAGTCTGCTCAAGTGACACTATTGCCAAGCCACATCCGAAATACAGCTGACGTTCGATTTCCCAGACGCCCGAAATTCCGGACATGCCCGATTTCCCGGACTCATCTGTGGCACCGTCACATTCCCCATAGAGTCAATGTATTAAATAGTCCGAAATCCTGGACGCTTATAGCTTTCGGCGACCTATTTCCCGGACTTTTTACTGTTAACCGCCGGCACAAAGTCACCACCGCCACCACCATTTTGGTTGTTTTCATATCCTCGAACCTGCCATACTCGCATCCCAGGTATGGCCAGCACCACTGCTGCCAACCGCCCCACCGCGTCGTGGCTGTCATAACCTAGAAACCGCGCGTGCCAATCTGTTGCCGGCCGTAGCTTAGCGACTTATTTAAGCCAAACCTCACTGCGTTTGTTAACGTGTTTTGTCAGCTCTGTAGTCGTGTATGCGGTTGATCCTTTGCTGTGCGCCATCATCAGTGATCACTTCCGACCTTCAGCATCCACCGAGTTCCTAGCTGTTTTGTTCTGCGCTTTTCATCTAACAGATTCGCTGTTTACAACGATGGCACTGACTGCTCCTTCTTCTTCGTCCGCACCTTAGAAGCACACTAAGCCCCCTCGTAGGCTCTCGATGGAGAAGAAAGCCGCCATCATTGAACAAGTCCAACGCGGTCGGTCGCAGGCAGAGGGGGGGAGGGAACTCAGAATTTCGAAGCAAACTGTTTTGGACTTCATGGAAAACTAGGAGAAGGTCTTGGAAATGGCTGCCAAATCAATCGGGGCTGGAAAGAAGAATGCGGGCCAAGGTGTTTACCTGAAGCTCGAGGAAGCGCTCATCACCATGATCGCTAAGCAAATCCCGGTGCCAAGTGACATCCTGCAGCAGAAGGCGGAGGTTTTCGCCCTTGAGATGGGCGTGAAGGACTTCAAGTTCAGCGATGGATGTCTTCGCAATTTCAAGAGCCGCAATGACTTGAAGTAAAAGAAAATGTTCGGGAAAAGTGACGCCGTCGGCGATTCCGTTGTTGCCAAATATTGGGATGGAAAGCTGCAGTCCTTGCTTCAGCAGTTTCCACCTAATTATATTTTCAACTGTGACGAAACTAGGCTGTTCTACAAGCTGCTGCCAGAGAAAATGCTTGTATTAGCTGGTGACCCCTGCCACGACGGCAAACACAGCAAGGAGCGGCCCACTGTCCTCGTTGGCAGCAACATGTCAGGCAGCGAGACGCTTCCGTTACTAGTAATAGGCAAGGCGAAGCATCCAAGATGTTTCAAGGGTGCAGTGACTCTGTCTGTTCTCTATGAAGCTGACAAGAAGGCGTGGGTAACGCAGCAGTTATTCGAAGCCTACATGCGGAAGCTGGACAGAAGTTTCAAGCAGCAAAATTGAAGAGTTCTGCTGTTTGTGGATAACTGCCCTGCGCATGGCCACATCAAAGACCTAAAGGCAATACAGATTGAAATTCCACCACCGAACACCACAGTAATCCTGCCGCCGATGGACCGAGGCGTGATTCGAAACTTGAAGCATCATTACAAATCACACGTGTTCAGCCACATAATGCTCTGCTCCGACAATGGGAAAAGCTACGCTGTTGACCTCAGGCCTGCCGTCGGCATGCTAGCGGAATCGTGGAAGGGGGTTACGCAAGAGACTCTGCGGAACTGTTTTCGCTACACGGGCTTCACACTCAACGCCGAGACGGCCGTCTCGCCCCAAGTGGACAGCGTCTGTGACGATCTGCCATCCGCGGATATTACCTTCGACGATCTGCACACTGCCGGCGTGTCGATTCCAGCCGGGTAACCCTTGAGGGCTTCGCCGACGCTGACAAAGACCTTGAGCTATGTACGAACTTGACCGATGACGAAATCATTCGCCAAGTTACGGAGGATTCCGACAACACGGAGAACAAAAAGCCATCTCCTACACAGTTAACGAGCTCGGAGTTGACGCGAGCACTGATGACACTGTCATTGGTGTACAGTGGAAACATGACTGACTGAAATTGAGGTAGATATGATAGACGGGCAAGCGGAATGCCGTGCAAAAGAAAATAGCGGACTTCTTTACGCCCATGTGCTGGCCTATGAGGTAGCGCTGGCCACGTCATATTTTTTTTTTATAAACGGCTTTTTTCAGAACCACCTAAACGATGCATTGGCTAAATTGCAATGTGAATCTTGTTCTCCGGAAGTTAC